AAGTAGCAGGCAGCAAGGAAAACAAGTAAATTCGGGTGAACCTCAGTGCAGATGCTGAATGAAAGAAGCCACACACAAAAGGCCACATGTGGACCACATGATTCCATTTGTATAATATTCTGAATAAAGTCAAAACTATATGGATGAAAATCAGATCTGTGGTTGCCAGTGGCTAAAAGTGGGGAAGGGACTGACCCTGAAAGTCAAGAGGGAACTTGACGTGACGGTGCATTGTTTTGTATCTTGACAGCAGTGGTGGTCAAATTTGCCAAAACTCATCTAAAGACACATGTAAAGGGTTTTACTAATTATAAATTATACTTCAATAAATCTGAAGTTAAGCAACTAAGGCGTAGGAACAATAGAAGAAAATGTGTCAACAGAGGCACTGAAATGGGGGTTGGAGGAGCTTCCACCTGGGGGTGACAGAAGCCCCCAAGAGCTACCTCCAAGAGGACTGGTTTTCAAGTCCTTTGGGCAATGAGGAGACTTAGGGAGAAATCGGGGAGCCTGTCCACAGATCCCAGCTGATGTCTTAATTCCAGGCTTCATCTAAAGTAGGTCTGTTGATTTCCACAGCTTCAGTCAATTGGCTTTATAATGTCCAGACTCTGCTGGGCTTAGAGTAGACACGAGGTCACAGAGGAAAAATACAGAACTGCACCAAGGCCAGTTTGAAAAAATAGACAGGAGGGGACTTAAAATAACCACAGCGCTGGGTTCCTGGCTGCACAGCTGGCACACAGAGCAGGAACCGTGCCTGGACTTTTACAGTGAAACTTCACTGGTGGGCATGACCTGAAGGAGGCAGCCAGCGTCTGGTTAGTTATTCGAAAGTCTGATTTACAGACTGCTTAAAAAAACATGACTTTTTTCCCCAGGTCTACAGAGTGGATTCAAGATTATGATTAATAACATATTGCCAGGGTGCTTTGGTGACTACGTGTTGGTCCTTGGTGATGTACACATTTAAGTTTTATGAGCAAAAAGATACTATTAAGCAGTTGTTTGTCTTTTTTTAAGTTTGTTCTCTCATGTTCCCAAGGCAATCGAGCATTTGTAAATTACCTTACCAAGGCAATTCACAAGTAAACTTTGGCAGGCTCTGCAATGATCGAGCATGACAGATCGGTGACCCCCATGCTGGTGAAACTGTCTTCTATTAAGAAAGGGTCCTGGCTGCCCTAGGTGAGGGGGTCTCTGGCTGGGAGGAGGGCTGTGTGGGGGCGATTGGCGACTTACTCCCCCCCTTGCCGCTTTTCTCCAGCCGGTACTGGTAGATGTGGAGCGTGAAGAGCATGTGGGAGTTGCGGTGGTCATCCTCCTCGCAGTCCTGCTGATTGTTCCTGCGGGACGCGATGGCAGCATCCAGGAAGAAGGCGGCCTTCTCGGCGGTGGGGGCCCGCAGCTCACTCTGGTTCTGCAGCTGCAAGACAGAAGCCAAGGGCTGCAGGGGGGCTCGTGTCACCCATGCCTGGTGCTACGGTGTCATTCGGCTGGCTGGCTGGTCTGCAGAATAAAGCCGTGTGCCTCTCTAAGGACAAAAGTCTTTCTGGACCTAAGGTCCTATACTCATGTGCAACTCTCAGCTTAATTAATTCACTTCTGAAAATTAACACGGAGCCCCCTTCTTGGACAAAACCTATTTTTACCCTTTTTACAACTTAAGTGGAATCTGTAAATAGCAGGTGTGGAAAGCAAATGGTTCTAACTAAGTGATTGATGGGAGCAGATGGCCCATCCTTATCTCTGCAGAGGACAGAAAACCAACATCCCAGGCTATCCATTTACCTAAGAAATCACCAGGGATGTGATGGCATCTTGATCTCAGAGATTAGGTAGTTTGGAGACAGGTAGCTTGCAAAATGTGATTTTTAGACCTGACAGCACTGATGTCCCAAAGAACTAAAACACATGGTTAGCTTTCACTTGACTCCCGATTTTTCAGTTATTAAAGTTAATTTTAGGCTACATTCACTAGCATAGTTATAAACAAGAAGTGTAAAAGGCATACTGAAACACCCGAGATACTTGAATGTCTCATCTGTATTTAAGAGATACCAATTTTTACCTTTAGTTCCTGAANCCTAAGAAATCACCAGGGATGTGATGGCATCTTGATCTCAGAGATTAGGTAGTTTGGACACAGGTAGCTTGCAAAATGTGATTTTTAGACCTGACAGCACTGATGTCCCAAAGAACTAAAACACATGGTTAGCTTTCACTTGACTCCCGATTTTTCAGTTATTAAAGTTAATTTTAGGCTACATTCACTAGCATAGTTATAAACAAGAAGTGTAAAAGGCATACTGAAACACCCAAGATACTTGAATGTCTCATCTGTATTTAGGAGATACCAATTTTTACCTTTAGTTCCTGAATCCATGTTCATGCCATACTCATTAATGGACTAAAGAAAATCTAGTGGGTCATGTATCTAAACCTTACGAGAACCTTGGCAACTACAGTAAACCTGAATCAGAACAATCATATTATCGAAGTTTGACCAGCACTTCTTTTTTTCTAGGAGAAAAGGAAAACTCCTATTTCCAAGTTGTTCAAAGAACTGATTTGCAGTACATGCCTTAGGGTCATACAAATTCTGACCATTTTCTACTCTGACTCTTTTAACTATAATTTTGAACTGTGAGGGCCAATATTTGCAACCTGAGACCATCAGAATCCTATAACTTTACAGAGGGATTCTATAGTGAGGGTACTTCAAAAAGTTCATGGTAAGATTCATGTTATCTTTTAATTCAATTTTTCCACAAACTTTTTGAAGCACCCTTGTATAACAGATGCCACTGGGGGTATCCTCACCTGTGCAAACAACCCCAGGTGGGATGAGGCAGGTACTTATCAAACAGAACATCTATTTGAAAAAGGAGGCATTTGGTACGACTAGAAAATAAAGCCTCCTGCAAGAGCCTGGAAGAACGGATTGTTCTGGATATGAACCAGGGAGCTCCTGAGGTGCTCCTACGTCTACTGTCAAAGAGCAAGGGAGAGACGCTCACAACAGGCATGACATCCTGCAAAGGCAAACTGGAGCTTCTCTTGGCTTCCATAGTTCTAGCAATTCTATCATGGTTCTAATTAGAAAGTGGTTATCAGTTTTTTCTACAGCACTGCTAATCCGGCTGTAAACTAGTGCCAGACACAGTTTATAGGGCCATAAACAGCCCCAATAATGGCTGTAGCTATTTGTGCAGAGCAGTAAATATTTTGGTTTGTTGTTAAACAAAAGAAAGACTGTACTTTTTTTTTTTTTTTTGCAAAGGGGCGTAAAGAAAGCAAATTCAATTTCTCCCCAAATGCTACAACAATTGTGGTTCCTGCTCATTGTCAATTAGAGTCAAGGTACAAATATTTAGGTTGGGTAAGCAGATGGCCCTGCAGCTGCAGGCCATAAACTTCCAGTCCATTTTAAAGTAAACACTTGTAAGCCTCCCAGTTTACATGTCGAGTGATTCACGGGTTGAACTGCCCCAGCCTCTGGGGTAGGGATGAGCCACCTTGGGCAAGCCCAGCTCCAGAAGCAATCACCTGCGTGCCACAGATGGGGTCCTCGCAGAGGTACACGCCAGGGGACTGGCCATCCTGCAGGCTGCCCGTGGCCACCTCTGAGAGCAGGTCCCGCAGATTCTCGTCTTTTCCCCACACCTCCACCGCTGAGATCCGGACTGAGAAACGAGCTCCGGTCTTTTCTTTCCGTTCATTTATCAGCTTGAAGAGCCAAGAGATGGCACAGGGAATGATGCCGAGGTTCTGCATGGAATCATCCTTCCCGATCATGGTGTAGGATTTTCCTGGGACAGCAAGGGGAGAAAGAGGAGCAATTGAGGCATCATTCTAGAGTCTCCAAAATGAATGCAAAGATACAGAAGAAAGCCATGGGGAACGGGGAGGAAAAGGTGAGAGAAACATTAAGCATTTGACAATAACACAAAAGGTGTTTCCTAGCACCACCGCTTCAATGGCTGCAATAAAGAATGCGACAGTCCTGACAAATGACACGACAATCTGAAAGTACCTGGAGGAGGATCTGCCTCGTTTTACATATAGCAGGAAGCCAGGCACTTTTCATCACAATTACGGTTCTTTTTATAGCCACCCCACAGATTACATCCACATCCCCACACTTTATATTCCTTTCTTGAGTTAAATGCTGTGTATATTTTTATAGCATGAGCCAATTCCATTAAAATCTGGCTCACTGCTTTCATCTAAGATCAAGGAGAGGGGAGGTGCGGGGGAGGCAGGAGTGGCCTCAGTGTCCTCTGCAAGGCCTCTGTTGGGATCTCTGCCAAGGGACACTTTGTGGAGCTCCCCGGATCACTCACTTATCAAGCATGTAAGTCAAGGCCTGGCGAGCAGATGGCCCCAGGTCAGGATTAAGAAGGGACTGCGAGGGGATTTCATCCAAACCCTTGTGCGGGGACTAACTGCTTCCCTTCCCAGATGCTTTGGCACAGACACATCCCTGACAGCATCTAGACACTGGGGACCAAAGACAGCTGTCAGACTGCTTTCCCCAGGCAGGTTCTAAGGTGGTTCTGGGCTTTGCTTGCAGGATGCTCCTCTGGCTTTTAAATGGGTTCTATCCCCCAACCAAGTTCCTCTTTGGGGTCGAGGGGGGGGGTGTAGGTGGGAGCGGACCACTGTCTTCTCTCTAAATAGCCCCTGCTCAGGACATGTTCATTTTCCCGCTTGCTTTCTGGACTTGACTCTGATCTGGACTGAGGTGCTCAGCTCTCAGTCATGAAGCCTCTCCTATATGAACTAGTGTCCACTTAGGACGAATACCTACATTTCAAAAGCAGAAATGGCTATTCCATTCAGCATCTAAGAGATGCTTAACCCCCCTTTTGCCTGAGGACTCTGGAAGCAATACAGAAGAACGGACGGGACAAGCTGCAGGAAAAAGGCAGGCCGTCACTAACCCAGCTTGGCATGGCCGAAACAGAACACACAGCCATCTGCCCCGTTGACCACGGACTGGATCACTTCTGCCACTGTTCCAGCACACACTTCAGCCTATCAGACACAAGAGGAGACAGCAGTGAGTGGATCACATGGCTGAGGCACCATTAATGACAGAAAAGTGAGCCTGCCCTCCCAGGCTTCAGGTCCCAGTGTCACCTCTGCCGCAGAGTCCTGGAGGTGCTCAGAACCTGTGGGTACCTTCTGCGTCTTACAAGCCTGAGCATTACACACGTTAACTGCAAACCCCTCTTCTGCTAATTTGCAGTACATTTCAGCTGCAGGATCTGCAGACCAGGCAGGAGCTGGCTGGGGTGGGAACTAGGGTGCCATCAGGGACCTTATCCCCGAACTTCATCTGCCACTCCAGCTTCCAGGACAAGACATTAAACTCTCCATTCACCCTCTGCTACCTAGCCTTTCTTTACACACACACGCACTTATAGTTTATGAAATGGCCCAGGCTTATTAGAGGGCGTTTGCAACATACATCTGTTTTCTCTACCGATCTCTTTCCTCTTTTTTAGTCCATGTCCTACTCTTTTCAAAACCAGGCTTGCCTTTCTTTCTGTACAGATATATTCATGGTCTACAATATCAGTCGCCACTTGGTATATTATGCAGGGTGTTTTCCAGCCTGTGTGTGCATCTCATCTCCAGCTTGGTTATTAAATCCTCAGACGGGAAGGGGCTCTGATGACTTTGTGTATTTCCCCGTGAACACCTGATTGTATAGCGCTTTGCAAACAACAGGAACTCAGTAGATTTTGTTACCCAACTTGAAATCTGGAAACCTCTTCTCTCTCTCTCTGGTTAGCATCTGAGACTTTCACAGTAGCAGGAGGACAACATTATTCGCTGTGTCCTGTCACCTCTATTTCTGTCTTGGGGCTGCAGTCAGAGTTCGTGGAAGCTTCCAGAGACCTGCACACCTGGAGGGCTCTGCAGCCCCTAGTGCAATGTGCTTCCAGTAGGAATGTGAAACCCAGCGGCCTCGGCAGTGAATGTAGTTATTCAGCTGCAGGTTTCAGTAGCACAATGACTCCTACGTATTGAGAAATCAATTTTCTCTTCCAAACCAAAATTGCAAAAACCACACACCCAACAATTGTCGGTTGTTCCAGGGTGGTTGCCTCAGTCACTTTGCTGGGGGCTCCTCCTGGGCCTAGGGGGCTGCAGGACAGGGCTGCTATGGGGACCACAGGATTGCTCACATACCCCCACCCCAGGACATAGGCAATGAGAAACCAGTGCTAAATCCTGAGACTGAGGCAGCAGAATCTTGATGGAATTTGCCAGAAGCATCTCTGCAGAGCTGGAAGAAGTTATTGCCCAATGATCTCTGCCTTCTTTGGCCATAAAGTGATATGGGGGTTGGGAGGCTGAGAACCTACCTTGAACCATACACAAACTGTATTAGATTCTTGAGTCACCAGAAGAATGCTGGTTGTGTGTGGACCAAATGGTCACCACTGAGTCACTCGTGCAGAGGCCAGGGGATAGCAGAGACATAGGAGTGGCCTCATAGGGCAAAGGGTGGGCAGGCATCCCTTTGCAGAGTTTCTGCCCACTGGGAAGACAGTGGTCAGCAATTTGTCCATCGGGTGTTTTGTGCTTGTTAAGAGCTGGCGATGGCCCCTGTAGGCCGACCCCCTGCTGCCCTTCCCTTTGGGCCTGGAAGCATGCAGCTGCTCACCCACAGGCTTGAGTCCCCCCAGCCCTCCCTCCTTAAGCCACATCTAGCAGAGGTTTGTCCCAGCAGCAGGCACCTAGTGACTGCTGAGGCCACTTAAGGGCCACTTCAAGGTAATAAAGATAGCTCATAAGGCAACGGGATCAAGAACCATTCTAATCACTGCTTAGCTCCAGGAAGCTGATATCCTTAGGAACTGAGAGAAAGCAAAACTCACAGCTGCCTGGGCCACCATGGCGGCTCCTGCTCCTGCACAGGTTCACAGCAAGGCCCTGGAAACAAGCCCACACTGCACCCTTCTCTGCTTCCCTGCTTTGGAGGCTCAAGGTGTGGTCACCCCAAGGAGGCTGAGCTGGCTATGGCCAGCAGCATGATGTTAACAACGATGACATAATCGTAAAAATAGCTCCAACAGTGTTCCTGGCTCTGTTCTAAGAACCTCATGAGTATCAACTCAGTTTAGTCATGTCCTCTTTTTTACAGAGGAGAACACAGGCCCAGAGAGGCTGAGTGACTTGCCCAGGGACACACTGCCAATCAATAGTGGATACACTGGTGGGGGGAGAGCAAAGACACAACACCATACCAAGCAGGACACAGAGAAGCTACTGGGAAGAATCCAGGAGTGAAGTCCGCACCGAAAGGTGACCATGAACAAGGGACTTAATCTTCGAGTCTCGGTCCCCTTGTCTGTACTGTGAAAATAGTAATGCCTCCTTTCCCACCCCCCAGATCTAGGAAGAGTTAAATGGGTTAATGAATATGAAACTTCTTAAAAACTGCAAATTTGTATAAAAATGTAACTTATTGCAAATTTTAACAAAAGTAACACCACCTCAAATGAGCAAAATTGCAGACTTGAACATACAGAGCTCTGGAACCATGAAATGCAGACAACGAAGAGCAATAAAAATGGTTCCTTTTTCTGGCATAAATCTAAAACTCATTAGTAGTCCAAGCTTACCTTAGGGTTTGCTTTGGAATGCTTAGAACTTATGGAGATTGCTTCTGAAAAGTTTCAGCTGTGTTAATTAATTTATTTGTAAGCCACTTATTAGACCCAGTGTCAGGTTTAAATTATTGAGCCCACTGGGTGGTACAACACATGAAAAATATAATGAAGAGAGCAACCACCGCACTTATTCATAAAATACCTTGTCTGATGGTAAAACTCTTTGGGGAAACCACATGCTCCTAATGAACGTGCCTAATGAAGGGTCCTATAACGTGTGTGTGCCTATGGAGCCTGTGTGAACGTCACTGCCCTCTGTGCTCAGATGCAACGTGAAGGAAATTAACAGAGGCTGCAAATGGCACCAATTAGCACCATAGTCCTCAGGTGCTGCTACAGGCAATTTGTTACCATACGACACACAGTCTTGTATACATCTTGGGAAGTACTACAAATTTATCAGAAAGGTACAGCCAAGATGCAGACTGAATAGGCCACTGTATACTATGGGTTATTTAATTTTGAAATTAGATCTACTCTCGTGTTCCCTTCCCCATCCCCACAGGAATAAGCAGTTTGGTGCCACTTAGAGGCCCATGTTCACCAAAGCTCCAGGAGCCAATCCCAGTAAGAACAGATGTCTGCTAGTAGCTTCGGCTGCACCATCTGGTACGGTCTGCAATTCACTGGCTGTCCATGGTCCAGGAATCTTGGCACCCTGGGCCCCAAGTAGCCTCCAAATTATACTCATAGTAGGTTAACAAAAATGGCGCCAGTTCTCCCCCCTCACCTTGTGTGCAAGCCCCTTGCAAGGTGACTTGCATCTCCTCTAATTAAGAGGGGAGTCTCTTCCCCACCTCTTGAATCTGGGCCACCAGAATGCACCAGAAATGGTGCCATGTCAACGCCCAGTCTAGCCCTCAAGAGGCTTGCATGCTTGGGTCCTGGACGCTGCCATGAAAACAAGCCCAAGCTAGCCTGCTGGATGATGAGAGACAACGTGACCAGGTGACCAGGCCAGGGCCATTCTAGACCAGCCTAAAGCCAGCCAACCCCCAAACATGTAATAGCATCCAGCCCAGCTCTGCAGAGCTGCCTGCCTCACCCACAGCTGATCATGGGCACATAAAGAGCTGAACTAGGACCAGAATTGCGCTCAGCTGACCATGAGCAATAGTAAATGCTTACTGTTTTGAGCACTGAATTTGAGGGTGGTCTGCAATGCAGCCATAGCTAACTGATAGAACAACTGTCCCCGAGCCTCTCTTCTCCCCCCCTGTACTCTATGGATCCAGGCTGCATGTCAGCCTCAGTTTCCCCACCTAGTTCTCCAGTTCTGCTGTCAACCTTAGTGTGCTTATATAGAACCCTAGGGTAGTGCCTAACTCTAATACAGCTCCCTGAAACATTTTCCCATCTTACATGCCCCCACTTAGAAGCCCAGGCAGGAGTGGGGTCTTAACAAACCAGTCACCGGCACCTCCATGCAGCTGTCCCCATAACTTCTAATGCTGCCTGCTAACTTCCCACTTCAGTATGCCCTCTACTAGCTGGCTGGCTCTTTCTTCTCCCCAAGGATATATTTTGTTGAAACCCCAGCACAGTGATCCTGCCCATGATATAACACCAGTAATTCATAAGCACTGAACTATTCAATGGAGCTCAACTTGACTTCTAAAGGTCATTGCGTAGATGGAGGACCTGGTACATCAGAGGTCTCCAGAAGACACCCCCAGCTCACAGGTCCCGGTAAATGAGAACCAACAATGCCTGAGCCTGAGGGGCTCCACACCCACCTGAGAAGCATCTTGGGGGAACACGGCATCAAAAGCAAACATCTTTGGAGGGACCTGGCTGCCTCTCTTTTGGAAGGCATTCTGACCCCCACAAGTCAGCGGGTCATACAAGGTGATTTGCTTCTTCCGCGGGTCCACCTTCAAGAAGGAGCTGGACTCTGAGGTATCACGAGCCAAGGCAGAACAAATGCGAAGCATGACTTTCACCTGTTAAGAAACAAGGGTATGACAACATGGATTGAGGTAGTGGCACTTTACGACAGAGCACCCTTGTATCCTCAGGGGATATAAACATGCACAGCAGCACTGAGCCTCCTCATGACATATGATGATGAAACACTCAATGAATAAGCAACATAACCCTTGCTGGGTCATGGGAAACAGATTTATTTACAATTGCCAGGTAGAAATATTTCGATACGTCCACTACTTTAATGCAGAGAAGGCACATCACGCTCTATGTCTTCCCATAAATATAAATTGAAAATTAACTGTGCCCTGGTGGCCCAATTACATAGACTAGGAGACTGCCCAGCTATAGGGGCTGGTGCAGTTCCTGGAAGCTCACAGATCAATAAGCCATGCACATAAAAGTTAGCTCCGTAATTTACTCCTTGGCTCGACTCATCAGGACTCTGGGAGACAAAAATCCACAGTTATTAGTGTCATCATTAAAGCCCTGTGAAATGGCCTGTTTGTAATGGCCAGCATTTGAAATGTGTTCCAAGGGGCAACAGTGGTAAAAGACTGGTTTGCAACATGTTACCTGGGATCCCATTAAGTGAGTGCAGAGAAGGTGGCATTTCTGGGAATGAAAGCACATCTCTGTGGGGCACGGGAGGCAGTGCCCTTTAACCCACCTTCTGAGTAATCGAACGTGAGTATCTGTAGTGCTCATGACCCACCCTGCCCCTCCCATGGCTGAGCACGGAGCCTGTGGAAATGCACAGCCTGCCTCAGAGTCCCAAGGTGGGCAGAAACCCAGGTGCACCCATGCAAGGTCTGCAGACTGCAGTCCTGGGGAAATGAACATTTGCTTTTTCACCAGCTCTTTGTTTTGTCCCACGTGTGCTGGACACTCTATAGAGCACCTACTATGTGCCAGGCACTGGAATAGCATGGGGGGGGGTGCAAGGATCTGTAACATATAGAGCAGCAGGGCAGACAGGCACAGAGACAGTTTTAGTAACAAAAGGTGGCAAATTCTAAAGGTATGCACAGGGATTCCTTTTAAGCTCCTCTCTGTTTCTTGCCCTTTTTGTCTAATCCGTTGTCAGGTCTGATGCAATCTCCATCATGCAGTTTGCAGGGGTGGGTGGGGCTGTAAATTTTTTCATACAATATTTGCAACATGCAGAAATGTTTGGGGAATAATATATATTGTATATATATTATTCAATATTGATGGAGTGAGGTCATCCTCCCGCCGATCTCAGCTGCCAAGGCAGGAGGACTAATCTGCAGTGTACAAAGCTGAAACCTAGAGAATTCCAAGGGCACAGGGCTTACCAGATGCCCTGTGCTGTGCCCCAGTGGTGCTTGTCCTTAGAGTTTAAGAACTGTACTCAAGTGTGGATCTGGAGGCCGGTGTCACACTGGAGGGAGCCCAAGGTGGGGATGAGGCCAATCTCCCAGGGTTCAAATCTTTGTTCTGCCACTGCGAGGGCATAGAATGATACCTGCCATTTCCTGAAGGCCTACTGTGTGCCAGGACTGTGCTATTACCTACTTCATCTCATTGAATCCTCCCAATAATCTAGCACGTTGGCATACTTGTCCGGATCTTACAGAGGAGAAAGCACATGTTACATAACTTGCCCCAGATCGCTGCACCTGTGGGTGGGAAGGTGGGGCTCCAATCCCACCTGCAAAGCCCATGCCTTTCCCACCATGCTGACTGCTGCCCCACTAACTGCCAACCATCTCTGAGCCTCAATTTTCTCACCTGTATAACGGGAATAACGACGCGGATCTCCTGGGACTATTGTCAGCATTGAGCTGACATGTGAAATGTTGAACATGGGACTGAGCACACAGTGGGTGTGCGATTCCTGTCTCTACCTCCTCTCTCTTCTTGCCTCTCCCAGGATCATGATTTCCTCTAGTTTTCCCATCACTGTGTTAATGATAAGGTCTTAGAACTCCTTGCCCTGGACTCTGGGTACCGCGAATCACAAGCGAGATACCCCAGGGATCACTACAGATAGACCTAGTTAGTGAGCACTGGGCTTGACAAGGCTCCGGTTAGTACAACACCATCAAATCCCAGAGGTGCTGCCTGTCGGACAGTAACCGCTACATTTACCTGCCTTCCATTCTGGCAATTTTCTCATTACTGTGACTTTCTAGAGTCTGATTTCAGTTCCATTCACTTCTATAGGTTTGCCCGAGTTACACAACAGGTATGCTAACAGTATATATCCGAATTGGTGGGTGGGTGTCTGGGGTCCCCGGGCTTTCTGGAAGCAAGTCTCCCAGCCCAGTTCTGAATGTTACAAGCCAAGGACAAAGCAACACCAGGCAGAACCGAAGGAGCCTCATGATCCACTGCTCTTCTATTTCACAATTTTGCATGCAATTTCGGGATAACTAGAGGTGCTGAATATAAAATATTAGCTAAGCCAGGCAAGGGACTGCAAGGAGGAGCAGGAAAGAAGAGATTGCATTAGTGGGCCATTTGTCCAGGAGGAACGCTCCTGCATCTTAACAAAGTTCCAAGCCCGAGTCATTTTCTGCAGACGTGCTAAGGATCCCAGCTGCGGGTCTGCCCAGAATCGCAGTTCTTTAAAAACCCACTGAACTCTGAGCTGGGGAAGATGCCACGCTTCATTCTTTTCTTTGCAATGCATTTATATAAATGGAGTTTTTTTCCCCTTTAAAGGAGGGAAGTTGGGTTTTTCCTGCTTCACCTCCTCTTTAGTCCAGCACTCCACTTCTGGCTTAATCCTCTATCATTGAAATGTTTAGGACAAACCTCTTCTGATCAAGAAAGTTCCTTGGACTTCTTGCCAGGAGTTCTTGCTTTTGACATAAACACTGGGAATTTCTTGGCGATATCTAGCCCACCCCTCCTCTTGCTGCCACCCTAGGTAGAGGGTGGGCAGTTGTTAACATGCACAATCTTCTCCCTAGCTCTCGGGGTCAAGGGGACAGTCACTATTTCACTCCCCAGCGCAGCCCTGGGGGGAATGGGACCCAGAAAGCTAAAGGAACAGTCCGAGTGGGGCACGGAGGGTGTGATACCCTGTTTCAAGCAAGAGGACACTGATGCATCCTGCACCAAAGTCCCCACTGATTGGGACCCCATTTTGTCTAATTTTTCAGTACACGGTGGGAGACAGCTGTTGCTCTGGGCAGCAGTTGTCTTTGTGTCCTGCTCATTAATCTTGCCAGCACCTGCCTCTGGATGGCACTCTGGGGCCAAGGGAGAAAGGAACTGTGAGACGCTCACCAAGAGGCAGAGCCTCGCTCCTGAACTGCACAGATACTCCATCAAGATGAGGCAGTCACCGATGGCCACATGGCCTTACTGGAGGCTAATGAGCAGTGACCCCACCATTGCTCACACGTGTCCTGCAAATGATCATGGCAGGTGCACAGCCCCGCCTGTCCCTCATCACGGAGCAAAGCCACATGGCGTAGCTCTAGTGAGGCTCATGGCCACCTGTCTGTCCACCCAGAAGCTGTCCAGCTGCAAGGTCTCTTCAGACTGGGAGGCTCAGGAGGGCTCAGGGTAAATCTGACCATTCGAAGGATCCCTCACCAATCAGAAGACCACAGGTAGTGGGAGAAAGAGAGAACTCCATCAGCTACTCACATGCATGAGCTTTATTTAAATCCCTTTGTGGATGCTCACAGGGAAAGTCCTCCACGACACAGACAAAACGATGGGCTGTTCCCTGGCCTGCATCTTGACCACAATAAATGCTCAATAGGAGTGTGTGGGTGATGATAAATAGTTTTTTCCTCTACAAGGCTACAGAGTTAAATTAGCCATTAGCATATCTCAATTCCTTTACATTTCTATATTCTAACTCCCTTTACAGCAATATCTAAGTTCACTGATTTTTAAGAATCAGCTCAGTAGAAACTGGTCAAGGTGCAGAAGGATCAGCCTAACCAGCAATACCACTGGGCATCATTCTTGTTTCAATCCCAGCAGTACCGGGATGATCTTTAAGCCTTCCACATCGATTCGTCAGTTCCTAAGACATGTCTGGAAATTGTTCTCCAAGATGAATCAGAGGCATATCAGAATAGAGGGAAAAGTCAGAAAGTAAGACAGTCAGAAGGAATTCAAGCACCAAAGGGTCATCAGATGAGAGAGACAGACAAACTGCAGAGCAACTAGCAATTATCTCTAGCCCAGTATCCTGTTTCCCTCCTAACCAGGCAGGTGGAGCAATGGCAAGGCTGGCATTCCTCAGGCTGAGCGGAGGTTGCAGAGATAGACCATCCTCTCAGCCTCAGGTGGGAGACCCAAAGTGTGGGTGAAAGATGGATGTGAGGGTGCCCGGCCTTGCCCGAGGAGAGCTGAGGGTGGAGGTGAGAGGGGCTCGTGTCTTTGGGTCAGACCAGGAAGCCCTTCATTCATTCCCTTTGAATGGGATTTACTGTTGAGGGGAAAACTTGGGGGATAACAAAAGGGTCCAGTGTGTCTCCTTTCGTAAAGGTACAGGGTGTGATGGCAGTGTGGTGAGGTAGAAGCTGAGACTGGGCTCTAACCCAAATGGCAGCATCCCTGAATGAACGAAGGTGTGGGCTTTGATGTCCTTATCCCTAAAATGGGTCTGTTGTGCTACCTCCTTGAAGGACCACTGTGAGGAACCAAAGAGAGAAAAATAGACTGTAAAGCAGCACACAGGTGTAAAGTATCATTATCTTTAGAAAAAAAGAAAAGGAAGGGAGAGAGGCCGAAAGAAACACAGAAATCATTTTCCTCATGTCGGCCGGTGTAAAACAGACTTTCTACATCAAATTAATGACAGAAGAAACCTTTCTCCTAGGCTTAATATTAAAAACTGGAGCAAAAACTCTCATGAACATACACATATGAGAGAGACAAAGAACAAAGTATTTTGCTCCCTTCCTCCCAACCAAAGTGAATGCTTACATTTTAGTCCACTTACATTTTTTGTAAAGTTGAATAATCCATGCAAAATTTGATCTGAGCCTATAAAAGCTACATGTGGTATTGAAATATCCCA